AAATGCAGACATTTCATTTGCAGACGGGTTATCCTACCTATTCTCATATGGTGCAAAATCAACTGAATACTCATACTCAGTTTGTCTCTGCGTGTAACACAGTTGACATCATGCAACAGCAAAACTCCAAGGAAGAGCCATTTAATAATTGCTCTTCACACAAGAGATACACAACGTATCTCTTCACACTTGTATGCAACAGCAACTTTTTTTATATTAGTGGTATGTAAAAAACTGCTGTTCTATACATATACTACTCTATGTTCTTGGAGTAATCATGAAGATTATTTTTGTTACAATATTTAAATGATTGCAGTTGAGGTTTATTGTTATATGAGGGTATTTTATTTGTGGGTTGTGAGCAACGTGCATGATAACTACCTTTTGGAAAAATATTTTGTATGATTTTGTTGCATCAGCATTTTTTTGCTGATGCAAGAAACTAGTCTTCAATGTATATGCTTCAGGAAATTAAAGTAAACCTTTGTGTTAATTGAGAAGGCCCGTAAATTTCATATTCAACATTTTCTGCAAAGCCTTGTATTTTGAGAAATGTGTTTATTAATAAGAGCGACGAAGAATTTATTTAAGGTAAAGAAACTTCCAAACATTATCACTACTAATGAATGCTGTATAATGTTAATGATATAATCAGAACAAGAAGAGACAAAATTCGGAATGAAACAATTAAGAAAGAACTGAAAACAGGAAACTTAGTAGCAGAAATCAAAAATTACCAAAGGAAATAGAGAAAACATGTGAAAAGAATGGAAAAACAACGTGTGCCACAGATAGCATTAAACTATAGACCAAAAAGCACGAGGGATAGAGGCAGACCAACAAGAAGATAGCCCCAGCAGGAACACTTCACCATGGGAAGAAATACTGCTTTACTACCCATTAACAGGACAGGAGCACAGCTCCTAAACCAAGATTGGTGGTGTTGATAATGTTGATGATAAATATTAGAAATTGTATGAGAAAGTCTGTGCCATGGTATAGCACTACCGGTTTTACCTTCTGGAATATGCAGTATAGAAAAGGTATGCAATGTTATAAAAAATAATGTTGAAATTTTGAAGGAAAAACATTATTTGTGATGTCCCTGATATCAAAAAACTTTTTTTTCCCCCCTCCAAATGTCCATTATCTGTCAGGGAACACTAGTGTCTAATTTTTACTGTAAAATAAATAATTCCCAATAAGCTGGCTGATGTGATCATGTTTAAAAATATATTACAATATAAAAAAGTAAACAAGATTTTCTGAAATACCACTGCAATTTTTTCTTAAAAGAATTTCCTAGAATAGAATTTCCTAGAATTTCACTTATTATAGGTCTGATTTTCATTAAAACCTCTTGTATAGTATTGAACATTACAAATATTCTATTTCTTTTCTAACCTGTTCTACACCTTCAATATTGATATCTTTTTAAATGGAATTCATACCCCAATATTTGCTTCAAATCATTCTGTGTACAGTATATCCAAATATTTTTTGGTTTTCAACAATTGGCGTTACACTGTGACAAAGTTAGGTACTTCTTTTTTCGAATGTGTCCTGCACTTCAATTTTAAATCTAGAGATTTCTTTCCTAATTTTACGTGTTCCTCAATATTAGAATTTCATGCACAGTTTATTTCTAAATATTAATAGTCTGCATTTGATTTTATTGAGTAACTCTACAAAATTAAAAATTAAAGTGTTTAAATTTCTTACAGCATAAAGAGATAACTTTCTGCTCTCCAAAATGCCCTCACTGTGAAGTAATGTGTTGAAAATAATATCAATCTAAATGTTAAAAATTGCAAGTGTATCACCTTCTTCTGTTTGAATGTACATTTCTCATTATTAAAAATATAATCTTTAATACATCAATAATTATAATTGATAAAATAAATCCAGTTGCTTACAATATATCACATCTACTTATGCTCTTGGAGTAATATTTGTCTTCATAGTGTCATTTTCAATCCATGCGACACTCACAAACAAAGCAAATCAGATGTTGGGATTTAGTAGAATTTGTACTGAATGAAAGAAATTAATTTAATTCTAAAAATACTGTTTAAATCCTCTATAGAATGCTTGTTAGATCAATTTTGATGTTTTCTTCAGAAGAACCATTTATTAATCATAATTGCAGGGAAAAAAAAAAAAAACATGTTTCTTAATATTCCATCATTTAAGTCATTGTGAGAATACTGAGTTACGTTATTTTTAATTAAATTTTGTTATGTCACGATTGCCTGCTCACAGCTATCGAGCCAATTAAATTTTTGAATTCCTGTCCAATCAACAATAATCTTTTTATTACCTTTTCATTTTCAACTTTCACATCAACTTACACTGATTATAAACCTATGCCTAGAATTGGTATTAATTGGTTAATGAGTTTCTGCAAATGTGACTTTTTAAATATGAGGAATTATATAATGAAATGAGAGTTAAAACCTCAAAATACAAGTGAGATTGTCTGTTCCTGTTTGTAATGTATAATTGTGCATAAGTGAGAGTTTATGTTTAAGTTAAATACAATAATAACATTAGAATAACTAATGTATTCCAAATGAATCATATTGAAATATTACAGTTGTATTTTTATTCCAGTTGTGGAATATGAATTTTGTATAGTCCTGTATTGTTCACTGTTACATGTATTCATGCAAGTTGGGTAATGTAGTTGTAAATTTCAGCGTGTCTGTATATTACTTATATAAAAACAATAAAATAAATAATAATAATAATAATAATAATAATAATAATAATAATAATTATTATTATTATTATTATTGTCTTACATTTAAAAAATCTACATCTAGTTGAAACTGCAAAAATTATTTTTATCATTAATAAAAAAGTACTTGAAATAGTATGGAAAACATAGAGTAAACATGAGGCACATACACTCATTGCAAGCACATGAGTTAAATGGAAAGCATGAGCAGTGCAGGGTTAACAGCAAAAGTATTGAATGTCAAATATTTAAAATAAAGGTTAAATGTTATCTTAAATATCATTAATTAACAGAACCTCCTGTCAAAGGAAGGCAATTTTAAGACTGTACAATGAATTTCCAAAATTAATATTGTATAATGAATATCCATTTTTGTAGTTCATTTTTTTAACAATACTACACACTTCAAGAAAAAATTTATTTTATTAAGAAGGAAGAACAAAAGTTCCCACTTTCCAATTTCAAATTACATTCATTCAACTGGTTCAACTATCCATAAACCAAAAGCCTATTCTTGAAATATTTTTGTATACAATCAAATGAAAATTATGATTTTTAATTTTTACAAAAAAATATCATAAACCTTTTAAGATTCTGTCATTAAGAGTTTATGAAGCCAATTTTTTATAGAAGTCACTGCACAAGAGCAAGCTTTCTTCTCCATATGGTACAAGATCAAGGAAGTTGGTTTTGCTAACTTCAACCCCAAAACAGTATCATACAGAATATTAGTGTTTTTAACAAAGCATTGATGAAAATCCATTCAACCTTTTAGTGAAATATTATTCTTCTATCAAAAACAGCCTGTGTTAGAAAGTCTCTAAACAAATGATAGGACTATTAAAATTCTTTGTTAATTTTTTTCCCTTCAAAAGGACAGGAAGGCATGAGTTTTATAGCAAGTTATAGTTTAGTTAAAAACAATCACAGGATGGAACATTATACATACTCTTGATAACTTATCTGTTTTCTTGATACATAAACATATTCAAAGTATTTGAAAATTAATGAGAATTTCAATCAGAAATAGGTGACTGGTAAATTCTCTTAATTTCCTTCGATTTCAGACTTTAAATGTGCACTGATTAGTCAGGAGTCACCTACACAGAAACTAAAACATGATTCATGCTTAAAACAAGCATGTACACATTACTGCTATCAACTAAAATGTAAATTAAACATGCCCAACAGCAAACGCAATGATGTTTAAAATTGAAGTAACAAAATAATATACTTTTTCATAGCAAACTTCTTAGTTGGGAAAAATAAATTTTTGTATCTCTGTTAAAGATAAATGAATTTAGCAAATTAGCCACAGACAGTTAACAGCATGACTAACATTCTTTTAATACCATGTCTGAAAACATTTTCAGATTTATGATCATATTTGGGTAAATAAATAAATTTAATGACACAGTTCAGTGCCTTTGATCATTATTTACTGTCAGTACCCAAAACTTTGGGATGGACTGGGAGGGAAGGACTGATCAAGGAGATTTACCAGAATTCACTGGAGTGTGGACGAACGCCACACAAGAAGTAGTAGCAGAAGTAGAGGTGGTGGTTGTGGTGTTGGAAGAAGCGATGATGCCTGTAGTTGTGGAAGAAGCAGGTTGGGCCCTACCCACAACCTGCAACAGACATGCACCGAGCACCGTTCTATGTACACCGAAAAAGAGAAAAATACTTGACACCCATGCGCTCAACTCTACACAGGATAAACCAATGACCCAAAATGTAAGAGAAAGAGCTGAAGAAAATAAAGGAATTCTGTTAAAAAAACGAATGAAGTCTTCTTTTAAAATACAAAATTATTACGGAAAATACTGATTTTAAACTGAAATAATATTTATTTATCTTCCTCAGAAATAAATTTACCGAAAAGAAAGCATACCACTGTTTGAGAATTTTAAGAACCCCTCTATTTTCATTAGGTGTATGAATTTTTGAATTGCAATAAACCATTAGAAAATAAGTAAATGGGTCATTGTTCATGTCATTAACCCAAACCGCAACCTGCATGCATAATAGGTTCTTCCACAGCCTATACTGTTACATCAACTGGCCAACAGAGCAGCTGCAGCAACAAAAAGAAAAAGACAAGAATGTAAATTAAAAGAAAATAACCAGGCTTCATGCCAATAAATAATATAAACTGATCCACCAAAGAGTGATATCACAGAGAGAAGAATAGAGCCACAATCAGGCTCCAGTATTTCACAACCTAGGACAAAAGTTTCACATAGGAGGCACAACATACCTTGGACGCGGCGGAGGAATTGCGAACACACAGCCGAGTCCCTACCTGCATTGGGGGTCTCGGCATGGGCATTAATCCATAAGGTGGTGTAGGTCCTCTTGGCCGATGAGTCTGAACACCCGTAGGAGCTATTGCTTTACTTGAAGGTGCTGCTCCAGTTGGAATAGACATCTGTGGTGACACAGACATCGTCTTCTGTTACATGTATGGGGTAACAAAGAATTCTCATAAGTAGAATTCACTGCTTCAATTGTTGACCAAGTGACTGATATTGTTTGTGGAAATCAATAAAAATATTGTTTGAATTCATAGTGATTTGAAAACAATTATTCAAAAACATGAATTCCTAACACAGTAGAAATTCTTTTCCTAAGAAGTCAGTTAAGAACCACAGTTGGTTTTTAATACTACAAACACAAACACTTTGGAGCCATATTATTACTACCTAAGCATTGTTAAGAAATTTTTAGATCTTTGGAACTTTTGAATTCTTGTATCACACTTTGAGGCACAAAACATCCGTGGATAACATACTGAGAGACAAAGACCTCAGACAAATGGGGAAAAGATCAAAATTAAATATTATTTATAATTATTATCATCATAATCATCATCAAAATTAGAAGAGAAATAACAGTAATTATAATAGTACAAGATCATCTTCATGAACTGCAGCATGAAAGGCGGGGGGTCCTGCTTCAGTTGACCTGAAATATTTCAGTCTTCCAAGTGTTCCTGCATGATCCTCTTCTTTCTTGGTTTTCCTGTGTAGTTGTGCCTTTGTTTTAGAATCCATGTTTCTGATCCATATAATATGCTTGGCTGTTAGGTTGTGTATTCATAATTTTGTTTCTTGGGTCACGACCTTCCCAAAGTGTCTTTTAATTATTCCATTTATTCTATAATATTTCAAAATTTTGTGATCGAGGTCTGGGGGTTTACTTCAATGGCATTGCCTAAATATTTGAATGTTGATACTTTCTCTTTTATTTCCCCTTCAATGACTATCTTTACTCTAGTTCCTCTCTTTGGAATGGCATTTTTTTGTTTTTTGTTGAGATTTTCATGTCACAGGTCTTTGCTATTTTATTCAGTTCATGTGTTGCTATTTGGAGTTCGTTACCAGTGTAAATTCACAAATGTTTGTTACAGAGAAGAGTAACCCAAATGCAAGGAAATCAATATAGGAAGAAAGATGAAATTTAATACAGAAGTAATACATAACATAATGAACGACATTATTAGACATGGACACAATTAAGAGCCACAATCTTCTCGAGCCTTGCCCTAAAATCAATTGCAAGCATATTTAGTTACTGCCTTATCTGCATTATTATTTATCATCCATGTTATGGGGTTGTGAGGCTCTGTGTTTATCTTTCAGTCATATACACCCCACTACTTAATAGCCAACAAAATTTCAATGAGAACTGCAGGGTGACCACGAATGTGGGAATAAGTGATAAAGAAGAATATCATAAGGCTAGACCTGCATCCTTCTCCTCTAGTGATGTAAAGTGGAGAGGGGTCTTGCCTTAACTTGTTGGAACTCAAAATGTCTACTGGTCACCATTAAGCCTATTCACAATATTTTTGTCAGGAACTTCACCGTCTGTCCAGCACACCACTTTGACCTTCAATTGGAGCATAAATTCCCCACTTCTTTTGCCATTTCTTCTCTTATCGAATACCCAGTACTTCTGATCTTTGGCTTATTTCCTTTATCTCCTATTTCCCCCTCACCTCACACATGGATCGGCAGCAAAATCAAATGAAATGGTGATAACAGATTACTGTGGAAGGGAGCAGTGTTCAGGCTTTGAAATTCTATATGGTGTCAATCAATTCACATCTGGATAAGATATGCTACAATGTTTGAAGAAGGATGTACTGGAACATATTATCAAGATATTGACACAAGGGAAACCTTGCAACACATCAGTAATGGAATATGTACAATTTAAATTTAACAAATGTAAATTTTTTCAAACAACAGGAATTACTTGAAAAGGCAATGGTAAAGTCATTCACAACCAACTACCACAGACAATGATCCTTAATAGTTCATTGAAACTGGTGGCAAAATGTTACAACTGCAACAAACATTGCAAAAAGTGACCGGATACTCAATACTACATCATAAATTTCTTTGTTAAAATATCTTTGCCTTTTACTACATTGCCTTATAGTTTGCACAAACATAAGGAATGTGATGAGCTCAAGGAATGGAGAACGAAACTGGGTGTTAATGTTGATCTGAGTAACAACAGGTACAATTTGAAATCCATTAGAATGTTTGTGAAGCAGACACCTCATTATCAGGGCGGTGATGGTCTAATGGACTGAGCAGGAAGCAGAAGGGAGCGGTGTTAGTAGATATGTAGGTCATTTTTACTGATTACTTCAAATATTCCAGCTCTCTGCCAGCTTCTTTCCAAAAACCAGCTATTGATGGTTCAAAGGTACATTGAAAATACCATTCTCCACATGTACTCTGTTGTTGTTGTTGTTGTTGTCATCATCGTTGTCTAGTATGTGTTTATACAAATTAGTGGTGCAAAGATACAACAAAGGAAAAAGAATAAAAATTTGAAGCCACAAGTGAGAATACTGCTCTGGTATTTGCCTCAGTCTAGAACTAAATGGGGGGCACCACTGAAATAACCACCATGAGAAGACAGCATGTGAAATTGTCCACTAGTTCATGGCATCACTCACTCCAGCTTTCTATCTAGCCTGAAGAAACAGTTTGAATTCAGACAAACCCAGGTCCTACAGGTCCAAAGAGCATCAGTTGCTACACTGAAGTAGTTGGTAAAAACAAATTGTGATACAGTGCCTGATTCCTAATTATTTTGACCAGTGTATTAGACAAGTTTCCCAAATCCCATTGTTACATACACGTTTAACTGTCCTAAAGTTCATAAATTCTTGCCTTAAGTTCATAAATACCACAATGAAAGTTAATTTTCAAATCACTATGTTCAACAATCTCAAGTTGATCGCACTCGTTGAAAAGCAAGAAGCATGAGTATTCTTTCTTTGAACTTCTAAAATTCTCGTTTCCTAATAAAACTAAAAATAATGCCATAGAACTGTCCAATTCTTGTAGAACAAATCTCATATTTGTATTGTATTGAATAAAAAAGCAGAAAGCGACTAGAATGCATTTCCTTATTTCTATACACTAATCAAATATTAAGGTAAATATGCCTTCCATGGAGCAAAATGGCAGTTTGACAATTTGTCAACAATAAAGGTTAATGTTTTAATTAAGCTATTTGTATTTATATTGTTACAAAGTCTGATATCTTTCTAAATCATTCCAAGCACTACATACGTGCACCAATTATACTTCAATTTCAGAACTATTAAATTTCAATCAAGAACAATGGCACATGCTGATATTCAAAGCTAATTTTTAAAACAATTTATACAATAAGAACTCTAAGTATACAAGAGTGTTTAAGTAATCAATAAAACATACAATCTTAAAAACATCACAAACCCAACAAGCATGCTCAACTGAACCAATGGAGGAACAAATCATAAGCCAACCAAAGCTCCAAAATCAAATCCAAGGTCATCACCCCCAGGAAGGATCCCTTTCCCTGAGAGGTTGCAACAGTCAATGGAACTGGTGGGGCCATTAGGTAGGCATCACCAACAAACCCACCTAGATTAACTCACCTGGCTCTTCTTGGAGGAAGGGCCTGGAACAACTTCCACTGGCTGTAGGTCAGAACATCGCCGCTCACGGCACACTTGGTGAGTGCGAGAGTTGAGGCACGGTGGGCACCGACCACAGTTTGACCGTGAACACCCAGCACAGCGCCCGCAGCGTTTGCGCTTCACCATAGACTTGCGCGATGCTCCCTCTGCAGAGTGCCCCCCTCCTGTGGATGTGGACGCTCCAGAAGGGAGTGGCCCAGAGAGTCGCTGCTCAGGACCTTGTTGCAACCTCTCACTTGCATTGTTATTTGGGTCTTGCTCGGTGTCTGGTGGCGAGGGGCTTCTGCTGTCTAAGATGTCTTCTTCCTCCCCCTCACCACCTCCACCACCCACACCACTGGAGGAGGGCGAGCTCCAAGGATTAGAGTTTGGTACAGGGTCAGGCCAGGGCTAGAGTTTATGAGAGAACAAATTAACAAAAATTTAAAAAAAAGAAAAGAAAAGAAAGAAATCAGGAAATGTATTTCTGAGGAAGGAAAGAAGCACAAACATTATAAAAAGCACGACAACACTGAATGTGGTGGCGTGCACATGCACTAGGCAAACAGTGTTTGTACAAACTAACATACATCAATCCATTAACAGCACAAGAAGCTAAGGGAAATGGTGCTCTACTGACATGCATTGAAAACTGCAGATGACAATGGCTAACATCATTTGAACAAGTACCTGTGATCCTGCTCCGTATCCTTTAGACTGTGGAGCATGATGCATAAGTGCTGCTGCGGGACCAGCTGCCTGTGGTAATCCATTTTCGGCAGCTTCTCTGGCCTTCATAGATTCTGCCTGGCCACATGATGCCATGTGCTGGGGCCAATGTCTTTGCTGTGAATAAACATAAATTACTTTATTTTACATTTTTCTTGTTTTTTCATCTATGTAGTGTGGAAAAAAGTAATTTACTAATGCAAAAAGTATATTTCAAGATTTTGACAGAAATACACATTTTGGGATCCCTGATAAGAAAAAAGTGTGAGTGTTATTTTTTCTAAATGTCTGTATTTACTCTCAAAATATCTGTACATCCATCTTTCTGAGAGCTTTGATTTATTTAGACCACTTTGATTTATTTAGAGTCCGCTGACATTTGATCAGCTGTTGTCTAATCGCGAGTTTAAGCGTCACTACTGTAGGTGTCATCTACACTCCCGATTGGTTGACACTGTATCAGCTGATTTACATCAACATACTCAATGTTTAAATCAAAGTACAGTGCCTCTACTGCACACAGGATTTTCACCAAAATGTATATTCCTCCATCGATCTGGTTGATTTCCCCCCAGATTGCACAACCCATGCATTACAATTCTTTAGTTCAAACAATATTTAATGTCTAAAACTGTGGGTTTTTGACAATATTAAAATTTCTTCTGGTGTATACGAGCAGCTAAAATTCTAAACATATTTTACATAATTACATGAAAAAATAATTCAGAACAGATTTTAAGATTTTTTACACTATTATCTGGCAATTCTTCAGAGTTGTTGAAAAAAGTTATATTTTGGATGTTACATCCCAAGAATCGAAAAAATAATCAATTTTGCTTGCAAAATGTCACTGCTCATGAACATAGGCTAGAGGTTTAGAACTTCGATATATGAAGGTAGGCTAAAGAGCATATCAAATTGAAAAATAAATAATGAAATCCATTAGGAGAAAAAATAGTTTATTTGTGAAATTCTGTGTGCCAGCATGCTTACTTACAAAAGACAAAAAAATTAAAAATTAATAAAATAAATTAAAATTCAAGCAAAAAACCTTGAAACATCTTAAGAAACCATAGAATTTTAAGCTGTTAATTTGTTAATATCTCAATCCATATCAAAAAATTGTATAAAACAAATCATTTCCATTTAATATAATTTTAAACGTTATTTATTTCACAATTCACAGACCTACAATATAATAAAAAAATCTTTAACAGTTGCATACCAATGCCTGAAAAACGCCAATGGGAGGGGGGCAATAATATTTGGCAATAACTTATATAATATATAAAAGTACAGAAAATTTTATATATTAATGTAGTAATGAAACATTTAGCAATATTTTTCTGCATGTTTCTACTAAACTATTTTCAGTTTTTGAAATACGGCAAGTGCATATATATTTTTAACATTTTCTGTACTTGTGGTACTTTCTGCATGAACCAAATGACCCATGTCCTGTTTTTGAAGAAGGGTTCAACTTTCTCTGCCTTGATCGGATTGCACAATTGTACTTTACATTGACAGATACTAAAATAAGATTTCAACTTGATTAGAGGTAGGACTGGCTGTAAGAGTTTTCACAAAGTGATTACACATGGTGATGGCTTCGAATTCTTTTGTAAACATCTGATAAGCATTGGGAGGTAATCACTAAGGATTAAGAATTAATAAAAGTCCTAAACAATGGAACAGTAACTCATTACCTAAACAAAGATAGAGGGGGAAAAAGTGCTGTGGTCCTTTTTGCCTCCTCCCCTCCCCACCAACTATATTAGACTTCATAAAAAATGAATATGTTCATTAATTTGAAACAAACTCACCTGACATGGGTAATCACAATATGATGTATTCCAGCAACAATAGAAAAGGGCTTCTTTGCCACAATTTGTGCACCATTGTTTCTTCTTAGTCTCTTCAATAGCACGTTGCTTCTCCATCTCACACTGACGTACTGCATCAGCTACAGCACGCTGCTGTTCTGACATCATACTAGCACGCATTTCTACTAACAGAAGGTCAGTATTGTGTTTCAGTTCAGCAATCTCCTGCTGATAGCGCCAATGCACCTTTTCCAATTCAAGTTGCAGCATCTTCGTACTAGCTTCCACATTCCCAGCATTACACATATCTCGAAGCATCTCTTCAATAGCTTGCTGCATGTATCCTGCCATCTAAAATTTTAAAAAATGTTTTAAAGTGCATAAGGAAATTGCAACTTGCTACATACTCTTTTGAAAAAATGAATTTTAATTATAATCAAGTCATCAATCTGTTTCAAATATGTTCAACAGAAAATGAAAGTAATGCTATTAATGTTACTAAATGGAAGTAATTTTGTGAACATGCCCCTCATGATCCTATGACAAAGACCTATGGTTGACTCATTTCTGTGCTAGTAACAACAGACCATAAGGAAGGAAAAATTAGGCAATATTAGTGAAGTTTATATGAATTGTTAACGCACTTAGCGCAAGCCAAATTATAAAAAAGTAATATTACAGACGTTTACTTATGAGATTTTTACAGCGAGAATTAATAATAGCTAAAACTTTTTCATCTGAGTAGTGTGATAATGCATTGGTAAACTGGGCAAAGCTGTAAGTCCATGAGATTGGCATTACTGCAAAGTGATCATGTTTTCGGTTTACCTTTCGAATACTGTTCAATACTGTTCATTGTACAGTCAATAGAAAAATTACTAAAGCTTCTAGTAAAATAGAATTACTGCATTGTAAAATTCATAAAGTGCTATCATTGTTGTCCTGGAGCGAAAGTCACAAAGCTGATATATGGCCCAAAACTATATATTAATGCTACACAAAATTTATAAAACCTCTCTAACCTCTCAAGATCACCCATTTTCTCTTAGAGTGTAGTATCAAAGTGATACATTTGAAATATTTATTGCTTTGATCCTTTCATTCGGAGTGTGAAGACCTTTCTATTGATCAAATTGAAGTGTGCGTTATGTGTATGTGTGTGTATGTGAAATTGCCGAGTTGTATGTTACAATTTTGGCCCTCTAGAAAGCACACAAACATCTGGCTACAGGATTATTATTTTACAGAATTTGCCTGTTTGAAAGGGTCGATATCTTTCAAATTGCACACACCTTGATCCTTTATAGCGCTGTCCATCTAAGCAATAGTTTTTAAAAGCATTTTTAGTTGCTAGTCCTCACAATTTTGAATTTCTAGTTGCCTCTTCCAAGACACCATAAGAACGCATCTTAAAATCACTTCTCGGGCCTTTTGGCTACGATCAAAATGTAAAATGAAATGAAAAGAAAAAAAAAGTCTTGCTACTTAAAAAATAGCCAATGAAATCAATTCAAACTTACCAATGCATGCGATATAAGCATGCTTACACACACATTACGGTGGCCAAAAATACGTTTTTGTTTCCAAGGTAATGATTCCGAAAGATTCCATGGATAAAAAAGTAAGATTGCATGCATTATAAGCCTTGTATATAATAAAATAACATGCCTCTGGTGATTTACATCTCAAAAAAATAATTTTTAACTCCTTTAACAACAAAACAACTGAATTGTCAAAAATAATTTTGCTTGTCTTGTATTTTGCTGAATTATTTTAGAAATGCTATCTAAATGACCATCAGTTGGTTTAAAGCTATCATTTTAGACATTTTTATTAATTTTCATCAATTGCAGAAAAAAAAATCTTTTTGTACCAAACTTTATAAATGAATAGGTTTTCATGCAAATTTCCTGTGCTGTAACTATTAAAAAACAGGTGTGTTGTATTAGAAGCTTAGCGATTATTATTTTTAATATTTTTATAATGAATTTTGAAATATCATGAAATTAAAATCATGACACAGAATATTATTTTATTGAATTTTTAATACTAGTACAGTTCTAGAAAGATTTCATTAGGGCTAGTTTATTGGCTGTTGGAAAATTTCTTTGATATTCTTCAAGAACATGTAAAAGTAAAGTTCGTTGCTCTTCATGAAGAGTTAGTAAACTGTTATAGATCTGGAATAGCTTAACATTTCTTTCTGCTATGTGATTTACGACTTGAATACCTTTAACAACTGTTTTAGCAGCAATGTAATTGTCATCAGTCCCCATTTTCAGGATCTATTTATCATTTTCAGGATCAGTGTTCTGAGTGAAATGTTCAAAATGTGTTTCCCTAAAATATGTTAAAAATATCTTAATTCATTAGAGACCAGTGGTTCATAAGCACACCAAACATTTTTTCCCCTGAATTCATCTGTGAATTTCTGATTTCCTTCGCTAGCATTTTTCAACACATATTGTTTTATTATTTTTTACTGTCCTCTGAGTTGTCCATTTAAGTGCTTTGTAGGCTTAGCAATATAGCTTAATTTTCAATTGGATTTTAACCTAAATTCATAGATGCATAATTTCTAAATGGTTGCATATAGAAGAAGCTGCTTTGCAACCAACCCAACCTTCGCTTTCCCCTTTCAAATAATGTGAACAATCATCTATTTCTTTTATTTGTGTTTTTTTGTAAATTAATTGTGAATTTACCTAACGTGCGGACACACCACCAGCCGGGTCTTTCTGGAAAGGCACAGACTAACGTCTTATAAGTTGTTGAAAGAAGAATACCTAAGTCTTAGAAAAATGTCTCTATCAAAAATAGATGCATAATCATGCAACAATTGCTGAGATGAAGTTATCTAAAGCTGGGTTATTTACAATAGCAGAAGCACTAAGCAGTTCTGTGAAACACATTACTGGCAAAAACATGAATGTAGTTTGATTCTTCTGACTGAATAAAGTTTGGTTCAAGTTCCTACATAAAGATGCTGCATGTGCATCACAGTGGAAGTGATTATTTCAGGTATACATGTTTTACATATTAATTTGAATTTGTAGAGGAAATCATAACATTTTTTCCTTAGTCTTAGCAGCTGAATTAAAAAATTGACAAAAGCAGCAAGGACACAGCTGACATTGTTATTCCACCTAAAATGGACAAACTAATCAATAAAGATGTAGATATCAGCAAAATGTTAGGAGAGGTATGGTGTATACAAAAAACAAACCATGATTTAGTGTACGAAATGCAATCGGTATAATCTGAACAAACCAAATATTATAACCCTTTATTGAAAAACAAAAAAAGTGGTTATTTGCATTCTATTTTTTTAGGTTCTTAATACTTCTCAAAAAATGCTTCTACAGAAAGGGATGACTAAGCTATCACTATTTCACTCCCTAGTGCTTGACCCTTCTCCCGACCAGTGGTCCAAGAGTGCACCATCCAGAAACAAGTTCCTAGATGGCTTTAAAAAATTGACTTCAAATTATCATTATTTGATGTCATGATAATTTGAAGTCGATTAACAACAATAACAACAACAATAAATAATAATAATAATAATAATAATAATAATAATAATAATAATAAACTAGAAAATAAAAATGTTTTGCGAGTTACGTGCCCAGGTAGGAAGGAATTAAGTACATCCCCAAATGCTTTCTTTAGAAATGGATGAGCTATCAATATAATTATCAATAACTATACCAAATATATAATTAAATAACTGTCTCTTGATATTAACTCTGGAGTGAATTCTGTTTCATTGCACAATCAATATTATGAATAAATACACTAAATAAATAAATAATTTAATTTTCTACAAGCAACACACATACTTTCTGAGCGTGGTTGCAGATCTCTTGTGAAATAGGGCCAGCCTCTGCAGGAACAGAACCGTTGCATTTAGCACCAAGTGAATTTCCTCCTGGTTGACCCAGAGGCCGTGGCTGAAGCTGTGGCAGCAAGCGACCTCCAGCTTGTGTCACAGCCTGGTGAACTGCTGCAACTGGAGGTGCTCCAGGTCGGACAGGGCCACTGTGGTCCCCGTTCATTAGCGGAGCAGCTGGTCCATTAGGAAGACCTGGATTGCGTGTTGCAACAGGTGACAGGAACATCATAGACACATCACCATTGAGAGATGTATTTCCTGTAGCAGGATTACCACTCTCATTTGACGGTGCTGTTACATCACCAGTAAGGGAACTTAATGAACCCCTTCTTGTATCAAGTGAGCCACGACGCCCAGCAGGACCCTTGCCGTTTGATAAACTCTGAGTAATTTTCACCTGTAAAAGCAACAAAAAATATAAATTTTGATCCAATATATTGGCAAATTATAATGAGGCATTCTGAACTTTGAAAATAAATTTTAAGCACTTCAGAAACAAAATTACTTTGCAATAAATTTCTGACTCTGAATTAGCAATTAAAGTTTACTTTTTTTGTCAAATGTAGGATTAAACAAGGATAAGTAAAGAAATAGAAGAGTTATTACATCATCTTACTAGTATAGATATATATTTCTCAGGATACAACAAATTAGTCTTTTCTAGTCAAAGTTAGAGAAATCTGCATTGAGAAATCAGCAAATTATTATAGCTACTTGCATCATATCTACACATTAATTTATTAAATTGCTGCCAGCAAGTATCCACCAACCTGTGGTTCTGTCTGTCTACTTTGTGAGCAGTATCTACTGTCTTGGTGTGAGAAAGTGATGGTCATGTGTGCAAGAGTATAAAAAAGAAAGTATTATAACAAAAAACAAACAAACAAAAAAGCTGACAAAATTAAAAACCATAAATATTTCTTGCCGTAAATTTGTTTGTTTTGAAATTCTCAGAGTGAAACTAATTGCTATAACAGCACATGCTTTTTCACACCACTAACAATTATGTATCTTTGAAATATCCCAATGTCTGCAATATTAGCAATAGTAGCACATTAGGCCTGAAAAATTAATTCATTTTCAGCACAAATTCAACAATCCAAAACTCCATTCTACATTCCTGACACTCTGGAAACACAGCCCAATAATGAGAAGTTATTCTGAGAATTTCAAACTGTCATGTCGTGGTGGATCCTTTGTTTCATCGAAATGTGATGCTGCTGAAAGCTACTACCAAAAGAATTGCGAGAATTTCAAAAATTTGCAAAATTAAGTTAAACTGCTTATATTTTTTTTTAATTGTACACAACCTTTTTAAAGAAACTGATTTTTCAGAACAGATTTCATCAACAAAAAATTTCTGTCATCAATATTGTATTTTTGCAATGTTCATTTTTTGCAATTTTTGAAAATACTGAGAGTTTGCTGATAAAAACATTTTCTTTACCATTCATTGCTATATAAGAGGAAAAAAGTTTGAACCAATTTTTAGAAAATGTTTGTTTTATAATTTGCACTGATTTCAAACAGAAATTATGCAAAAACCACTTGTATTTTCAAAAAATAGTACAGACCTTTTGTAAAGATCTGACTTTTTAGAAGAAATTTATTGTAAACAAAAATTTCAATCTTCAATACTGAACTTTTGCAATGTTAAATTTTTTGCAACTTTTGAAAACATAGAGTTTGCCGACTCCACTTTTTATACCATGCTTCCATACATATGAGGAGAAAATTTAAAGAAAAATTTGGAAACATTTTTGGGACAATAATTCTTTAATTTTTTAAAATTGCCTATAAAGAAGAAACAAACAAAATAAATAAATATATTTAAAAAAAACAGACGGGGATTTCAACAAAAATTAGATATGCACTATTCTCTAAAGCAGCCTTTGCGGTCAAGAACAAAAATGAATCCAAAAATTTGGAGCCATTATTGAGAAAATTTTTGAAATGAGGCGTGTTGAGGCTTCACATAAGGTACTTCCCAAAATCAAACTATCCGTTTCAAATTTGTAAGGCCTTGTATTCATTCCAATTGATTAGGGAATATCATGTTTGGAGAAAATCTTCTGAGCAGTTTAGGCAATAGTATTGACTACAAACATACAGAGACAGGCATTTTGCTGCCAATCTCTTTTTTTCAGTTTAAAGAACCTACAGAGCACTTATTCTGACAACACATGTTAAAGGAAGTAATTTACAACATACAGGAACAAGATTTATCCAGTTTTTCATTACCAAGACTTGGGAATTAGAGTTTTTTTGTTAAAAAGTTATTGTGTTTTCCTGAGAGCATTTCAGTGTTTTCTCTATGGTGAGTAAGCAATACATGAGAAAGTAAAAATACAAATATCTACTTTATTTTGCCAAAGCTTCAAAGTGAATAGGTAAGAAAGCATATCTACGGTAAATCTATCAAGGAATAATGAAAAAATGTTAAAAACGAGAATAAATACCCAGAACACAATTCTACTTTTTACTTATTTAAAATTATTGTTTTTTTGTTTTAAAAAATGTAAAAAAACATTTTTTTAAATTTAAATTCATGTGATGTATTTTAAGACTTGATTAGTTTTAAGTATCATGTGTGTTATTGTACGTAAGGGGTCATCCATAAATTACAAAATGCAAATTGTGAGTAATTTGAATACCTTCTTCTTCCCCCTCCCCACCATACCTAACCTGTAACACGTGCTTGAACCCTCTCCTACATAATTACATAAAGCTTGCAACAACACCTCCCCCCTTCCTATTTACAAGTAAAGATAAATTATATTACAGTAAAAATAATTTGCATTAATTTTATTTCGGATATATTTTAAGATTTATAATAACTTAAGTCCGAATTAATTGGCGATTCTGACTACATTTAACAATAAGATTGGGAACAAGAGTTGTGAATAGGAAGGATGCACAGACATGAAAATTGTGAAATGTTGGGTGAAAAAATATTCAACATTTGGTGAATTCACTCCTAAAATAACTGAACACAAAAGCTAATATTTGTATTTCACTAAGTTCTAATTTTTAGCTGCAATGATATTTACATAAGGTCAGACAACTGGTATTCCCTTAAAGGCAAGCAGCACTCAGCTCAGGGATGCTGACTGCTTGAGGCCCTTTCTATCATTGCAGTTAGGGTTTCTAAAATTCATGTTGTTTTTTTTTCTCCAATTTAAATCATAGATAAATCATGAAGAAATTTTAAATCATCATAATTTTCAGTGTTTTGAGAAATCTCTGGACTATGTCTTCACTTTATTAGGCTTTATGATTCAGTTATTATATCCTGTTGTTAAATGCTATTGCATGAAAGTTCCATTTCACATTTCCAGAATAAGGAGAAAGAATTTTCACAAACTATACTAAAGAAAGACAACAAACATTTAGAATGTACAACTAACATGTGTGAGATGTATGCAGGAAAAGGTTTTTGGTTCATAGCTCAGCAAGAAAAAAAGTAAGGGCAAGGCTTAACCATAGCCCATTAACAAGCTCACTAGCAAGCTATGGCATAACTCAGCCAGTATAACAAAAGGAATCTCTCTTTTTCTCCTGTCGAGGAGCACCTCAAGATATGATTTTTTGGAAATGAAAAGGTTGCGAAAGTTGTGTTTTTATACAAACATTTGAGCCCTAAGAATATCCATTATTATTGGATTCATCTTCAAACATATTTTTTTTCTATTATAATTGTTCTGAATAAAAGTTTTAGCTACATATCTGAATTATTTATACCCACATTTCTTAATGTGTCATAAGTCTTTGAAATAAACATAACACAATAAATATTTATTTTAACAATTTATTAAAAAGGATGATTGTCTTCTACCTACTTGAGGATGTGGACGGTTGGGAAATGATTTCCGAGCACGACCTCTTGCAGAAGGAGCCACTGGAGTGATCTCTCCTTGCGTAGGTATAACAGGTGGAGGCTGTGGAGGGGCTGGTTGTGTAGAAATCTGCAGTCCGTTGTGGGCTGTCACAGTTAGGCCACATGGAGTTGTAACAATGGTGGGTACAGAAACAGCACGGCAATCAGGTGAATCACTACTGCTAGTAGCAACAACAGAGGTGGGTTCACCAGCCCCAGTAACAACTGTTGATCCACTTGAATTAGCTTCTTTATTGTTACTGTTGCTATTTGTTCCTCCACTACTAGCTGCAATGACACTCAAACTAATAGCACTAGGCAAGCCAACACTGGCTTTCACTTCCTCGATATTGATGGTGCCATCACCTTGGGTACCTGTTCCCCGAGTAGATCCTCCAGAACCAGGAGGGACAATAGGACCGCTTGTTTCCACACGCTTGTCATTGTCAACAGTAATAGTCACACTGGGGTACAAATATGAAGGGAGCACATTATCTTTGTCATTCAGAGAGGCAGGACTATCACCATCTCTATCATCATCATTAGTTGTTGGCTCTTGCAGAGGAAGATTAGTTCTACTGCCATCTCTTTTCTCTTGCTTTTCTCGTCCCATGCTTGAAGTGTCATTGGTGACTATTGTCATTGTTTGATCCTCTTCATCTGTGGTTGATATTTCCTCTTCTTCAATATCCATGGGTTCTTGTTTGATATTTTCAAGGAAATCAGTCCCACAATTAGAAAAGGTGTCACACTCTGGACTTCTAGATGGAGCCCGCATTGCTGGAAGAAGCTTTCTTGGTGCTGACTTTCTACTAACTTCTTTATTTCGTTTAATACAAATATCATGAGATTCCTTTCCTTTCTTTTTGTCTTTTTCCTTTAATTTCAACTCAACATCCTTCTTTTCTTTATGTTTTGTTGAGTCTAGCTGATTTTCTTTCGGCATTTGCCTTCCTTTGTCACCAAGATTTTTGTCTTTACTATCTCCTTCCTTTTCAGCTTTTCCTTTTTGTTTAAATTCTTGTTCACATTTTTCTTTCTCTATTTCTATTTTTTGTTCTTTCTCTTTTACCACCTTGTCATTTTTATCCTTTTCTACCTCCACTTTTCCATTGTTTATATTAACATCATTTTTATCTATTCTCTTGCCCTGTTTACCATTTTGAGATTGAACATTTTTTAATTCATCTGTTGTAATTTCCCGCTCACTTTGTTGCTTACCTTTTCCACATTTTGTTTCCAACTCTGTTGCATTTTCTTTTGCTATACTTTCTAGAGAATCTTCTTGTGAAATGTTTTCAGTTTCCTTCCCTATTTTCTCCTTTTCTTTTTTTAGTATGTTTTGATCAATCTTACTGCTCTCCTTTTTGCAACCTATTTCAGGATCTTTTTGACTAGTCTTAGAATTCACTTTTGGAGATGCCTTAGTAATTATTTTCTGGCTTTCTTTTGTAGACATCTTCTGAACAATTTTATCTTTTTCTTGTTTATCTTCTTGGTCTCTCTCTCTCTGGCTTTCTTTTTCATTCTCTTTCTGATTTTTGCTTTTAGACTGTTTTTGATTTTCTTTATTTGGTTCTTTTTCAGCAAGTTTCAAGAGTTCTTTTTGACTCTCTTTGACTTCCTTCTTATTTTCATCATTTGATTTCTGATCAACTTTCTTATTTACCTTATGTTCTTTTAAGTCCTCATTGTGACATATTTTCATCTCTCCTTTCAAACTTTCTTTCTTGACCCCAGTTTGGTTTTCAGTTTCTGCAAGTTCTTTTTCTATTTCTGCATGTACCTTCTGATGACTGCTCTCATTTTCAATTTTCTGATTTTCATTAGCTACAAGGTTCTCAACTTCTTTACATTTGTCTGTATCTAAATTCATTTTTTCAAGATTCTGCTTATCTTCAACCTCCTTTGTATTTTCTTCTTGCATTTTTTTTTCATCCTCTTTTCCATTTTCTTCTTCACTCATTCTATCAATCTCATTTTTAATTTCCTCTTTTGGAACATTGATAGTCTTGTCTTGTTCTATAACATCTTTTGACTGTTTTATTTGGACTTCCTTTCTGTCATTTTCCACATCTTGTATTCCTTTTCCTACATTATCTTCCTCTTGTTTTTCTGATTTGTCTTTTGCTTCTAACCCTGTATCCTGATGAGAATGCTTTTTTAAATCCTCTATTAATTGTTCTTCGTCTTCCTTTTCTAAGACACCTTCACTTTTTGCTATCTCCATATCCAATATTTTCTCCTCCTTTTCTGGTTTTTCTTCTTTCAGCTCTTTTTCAATAGATTTCTCTATTTCAGCTTCTTCCCCTCCCTCAGTATTTTTGGTTTCCTTTTCGTAATCTTCAGTGGTGACTTTACCCTCCATTTCATTTTCAACCTTTTCATTTTTTATTTTGGGGCAAGAAACACTGTCTACATTTTCAATATTTTTGTTCATCTCAGTCTTTGTTGTTTCATCTAAATTGCCTTTTTCTTCATTGTTCTTTCCATCCACAGACACTATTTTCTCCTCAGTTTTATTTTCTGCATTTGTTGATACAGGTTTTACATCATCCTTCTCATTATCAGTGGATACATCAGTAATTTTTATTTCCCCTGCAGTCCATTTATCTGATTCAACTTCTTCTTTTACTTCCAAAGTTTCTGACTGGACCAACACTAAATCTGGTGGCTTTGGATCACTACTTTGACTATTGCTGGATACATTGCTGCTTGTACTACTACTACTGCTGCTGTTGTTACTATTACTGCTACTGCAACTGCTATTACTGCTACTACTACTACTGCTAGCCCCACTGTTTGAACTAGAGCTTGAACTAAGTGAACTATTGCTGTTACTGTTGCTATCACCGCCAACAGGGCTATTTACAGCCCCATAATCAGCAGCGGTCAATCCTGAATCACTCTCTTCCCCTTCTTGGAAACCATCATATTTGTCTTCTGAATCACTAGTTTCATCTGTCCCTATCTTTAAACGGCTTGTGTGTGTTTTATACATTCGTGGCTGTGCACCATGAAGTCGACGTATTAGATCAGGAAGCATCCCTGCCTTTTTGTCAGACGCATCCTCTAACTTGTCACCACTTCCTGAATGTTGATGTTGAGGTACCTCCACAAGAGTAGGAGTACTGGTTTCTTGTGGAGAAAGTTTCTGTATCTTCGGTGTATTAGAAGGTGCAGAGGAATCATCTGAATCTCCTGATTCACGAGATCGCTTGCGTGAAATGTTACTATTAGAATCATTTTCCGTGGCCAGCTTTCCAGGGTCCGTTGTTGTCTGAGGAATACCCTCTGACTCTTCTGCAGGTCTTTCTGTGTCTTCTTTGGTTTCTTCTTCCTCATCCTCTTCCTCTTCTTCTGTCATTCTTGCCCAAATTTCTCGTTCAGCTGTTTCTGAAGCAGATGACAGTGAAGATGTATCATCTTCTGTTATGTTCAGAGACTCCAAGTCACTTTCACCAGATGGAGCAGGACGGTCTGCTTTCTCAACCGTAGATGCATCATCGTTCTTGGTATCCGATGAAGATAAATGGACGTTTGAAGGTGGTGGAAGTGATGGTGAAGCAGGTGATGAGGATAGCGATTGCTTACCGGCAGGCAAACTGTCAGAGCACCCTTCTGCTGGTGTAACAACTGGTGTGGAACTAGGTGATGCAACAGAATCATTACACATTGGAGGCTTCGGAGAAGTATTGGAGACATGTGAAGAAGGAGACAATGGATCGGTTGGATGAGAGCCAGGCAGTTCAGGCATGCCTAACTCGTCTTTGATTTCCACAATATCCATAACCTCAATTGCAGCTGACTCCTCTAGATCAGCGTCAGATGTATTTGACTGGTGTTGATTCATTGTTATACGAGCAGCTTCCATTTCAAAACGTGCCCAGTCACTAAGTAATGCACTTCCAATTTTTGATGTCTCAATTTCTTCAGGCTCTTGCTTGATAATACTGATATCATTAGAAGATTCAAGTTGCTCCTCTGCATTAATGGGTTCTGTTTGGATTGGGTGTGTTACGTTTGGTGCTGAGGGAGATGGCCGCCTACGACTATATACTCGCAGTGGCCTTGTTGGGGTAGATGAAGGAGGAGAGGTAGGTGGTGCAGATGCAGGTCGCACTGCAACTGGTTCTGAAGGTTCACTATCACAACCATCATAACCGTCACCTCCTCCTCCACCAGCTCCTTCATCATCGGCTTCATCTGCACTTGCAGCAGCAGCAGCATCTGCACCAATCTTAGAAGGTGCCTCGGAGCTAACAGACGTCACACGGAATCCTCCAAGGCGTGTCTGTAAAGAGAACAAATTTCACGGATTTAACTAAAATTGAGAAAATTAATTTAAAGTTCATGATTAAGGAGAGCAAACAAATATTTTAAGAAAGAATCCGGGGAAAACGAAAATCAGCCATAATCGATAACTGATTTTGTCAAACTCATATTGAACATGGCACTGCAGAGAACATTCTTTCCATACGTAATTAGGATTGTCATGGACTACAAGTCTAGAATAGTAGTGATTACATCAACTTCAGGAATTTAATTTCAGTGGAAGTTATTATGGTTGATGTACTAAGTCGGTAAGTCAGGCACAAAGTCACTGAAAATAATGAAAATTAAAGAATTTAGTAAAACTAGTAATAGGTTCTCTACAAACATTCTTCACTTTGTAAATCAATATTTAAAAGTAAAATTACATTCTAAACCCAACCTTCAAATGGTTAGGTAAACTATTAATTACATCTTACAGGCCCAGTACTGTGTGCATGCAAGTACAATCAACAGTTCGCAGGATTAAAGATCAAGAAACATGAAGTCACTGACACTTTCCACACCTTAAGGAAATATTCTCAATGCTCACACCTTTTGTCACAACATTATTATATTATATGGCATATTATAAGGCATGCAGATGTCTTCAGCAGTCTTCAAACCTCATGTCATTAGTACACAACTCTGAATTTGTGTAAATTTTTTTTTTTTTTTTGTTGAAAATTCATTACATATGTTTTATGAAATGAATTTCATGAAAAATTGGAATAATAATATAACGTTTTGCAAAATATGTCAAATACGACAAAATTGATAAAAGGATTTTCATTGAAAGCATTTGATACAAGAACCTTTTTTATTTAAAAAGTATCTATTTCATTACTTATTTACTTTATCAACTCGAAAGATTTCAATGTTTTCCAATTAATGATGAATATTTTATGCACTGTAGGTCTTGTATGTGAGTATATTTCACAATTGCATGTAAGGCACATATATCATTAGTAATTTTATAAGCTTTTTCATACTTACTTGGGGATCTGTTGTTGGAGGTTTATCTGAAGGTTTTCTGAGAATCCTAGGTCGAAAACGGTGCTGGAATGGCATCTGAGATACAGTTTTCTCTCCAGCATAACCTGGCAGGAATGTGGCCAAGTGCTCCTCTTCATGACTTGGATCAAATGGGGTTCGAAATGGAGCATATTCAAAACGTCCAAATCGCTCTCGTAATTTTCTAATGTGTTGTTCTACCTCCTGTGCCATGAACAATAAATTTTCAATTACTGCAGTTTATTCCCTTAATTTCATTTTTACATAAATTCACATGTAAAATAATGCAAAAATAGTCTGACTTTTTTCTTTACTGGACCATAACCTTAACAAATGCTCTAAACATGTGCAAGGTATAATTTAGAAAGTAATAATGAAATACTTCTAAAACCAGTTTTTGTGTTAAATAAAACCTATTTGAATGAAAATTGCACATACTCACATTAACACAAGCTTCTAAGTTGTGTTTCTTCTTATTACGAGCAATCGTTGGAATACATTTACTATACAGAAAGCAGTCTCTAACAGGAACCCAAGCACGATCGTGAGCACCAAAAAAACGCACATCAACCATGTTTTCCCGATTTGTGCGCATAACTTTTGCTGGCCAGAAAGGAAAACCCTTCAGTTTTGCCCAAAGAAGTACATGAGGCTTGCGCTGCAATTAAACAATAACACAAAATTTTCGCATGTTTACTTTCATACATATTAACAAAACAGTATTTTCTATGAATCCAATTTTTCATAAAAAACTAAAAAAATTTACAAACAACATAAATAATTTGTTACAGTTAATTGTTTGCACAAATTAAGGAAGGAAAGTTTCATATGATATAGAAAGGAAAAAGTACACGTACACATTCAATATGTATTTTACAACCATTATTCTTCAACAATGAGCTCTTTACTGTTAATGGATGATTTTATGCCAATGTCAAGTGATGCAACACAAATAATGTCAAGTGAGTGCAAATCTAACGAAGTGATGCAAGTCTGGTCATGTCAGTGAGTTTTATGCGAAGTCAAGAGAGCGCAAATGCTAAAATAAAACTTGTATTTTACCTAAATTAATAACAAAATAATTGCAGTATACTGTTGGCCCTGCAAGGTTTATCCACCTATTTAACTATGATCGTCATCAGTTCGGTGACGATTTCATTGATCAATGAGTAAACATCAACAGTTCATAAGGTAGATTGCAACTTAATGAAAACTAGACCACATGCCCACATATGTAGCACCAGTTCTTATTTTACTTCATTACTTCACCACTTGATTATTTCTGTTATAAATTTAGCAAAGATTTCAAAGGATACCTTTTCTAAATTTATGACAAGGGGAAGGTCTCATAAATGTCCTTGCCGGGTTTTGTACAGCATTTTTCTTTGTAGATACTGCGACTTCTTTATACCAACACCTTCATTGTTCTTTTATCTCTATTTTCATATTTGTAATAGCTGTGACAGCCATCTCTCTTTGCGATCATCACATATTCTTTAAAAACATATTTTAATATTTTTATGTAAAAAGGCAACTCTGTTTTTGAAATTAAACTAATTATAATTCCAAAAGCAAGAAACAAAATATGACTTTTGAGGTGTACAAATAAAATGATCATTACAATGCAATACAATGAATGCCTCTACTCTAACTACATCCAGAATGTAATGAAACTTACACAAACTTCTATGAACCAGGAGTCTTTACGTGTGTGAGCATTCAAATAACAGTCTGGACAAATCTCGATTTCTGACATCTCCTGTTTACATATTTTCAATATAGCTTTGGCAGTGCTTGAAAGTTTAGTGTGATCTGGAAAAAACAAAATTCAATTATTCATTCCAATTATTACATCGATTCAACAAGTATAAAAAAAATGCTGAAAAGATCATCACATAACACAGGTCAAATTAAAATCTAGTGGATAAGATTCCCTGTTTTAGAAGATCACAATAACTTACGTGTATTAAAGATTATGCAATCATGTAATATCCACTTGGTGTCTGCAATAAATGCTTCCGTGCTACCATACATCCTCCTCCTAATGTTTCGTTCTAGTTGAGAAAGGTCCATAGGATGTGCAACAAATTCACGGTAACGTGGGAACATTGTCTGATCCACTGGTTTGCAAAATGGCTCAGTCTGTAAAACAAAACAAATCAGTTTTTAAAAAAGATTAAGATAAGCGTAGAAATTCATTAAAATTTGAAAACAAGATCTTTGTTTCTTTATTTTATATTCATATTCTAAGAAATTATTAAAATTGTCCAAACAAGTATGAAACATGTTTAAAAGCGAGTTCTTTTTTCTTTAGAACCTCAACTTGCAACTCCTACACCAGTATGGCAAATCCAAAAGAACAAATACATGATAAAATGTGTACTATAAGCAAAAATTTTAAAAAAATTTATTTGGAAAAGGAAATCATGTAATGAAATAATCAAATATGTATGAGGGGATTAGGTCTTTCCAATTCAACTACTTCTATAAGAAATTGAAAATATAACTTTACTGCACAAGTTTGTGCATCACAAGTACTGCACAAGTTTGTAAGTCACAGTCAAGTAATATCACAAATGATTGGAACTAAATTAACAATAATTAACTGATGGATATAATTACTCAACAATAATCTTTCTAAACTAAAATCAAACAAGGATTTATTCAAAACACTCATTGCCTTGAAAATTTCTTTTTCTACGTGTGCTTCTTCAGTTGCAATTCGTCTGTTTTCTTGTTGAGTTCGCAGTGGGTTTTTTTCACCTTTTCCCCCCAGCTCTGTACTTATTCTTACGTCATCATTGTTTTTCATTTCTTGAAGCTCGTCTCTATATTGGCTACAAGCACGATTTCTCTTATATTGGATCACGTGTTTTGCAATTTTATTTTGTCTATTATTCTTTTACTCTGAACCCCTTCCCAGACATAGCACTGAACCACTAATGATTTCTCCAATATGTTATCAATGAGACACTCCTTATTCGCTGAAAATCTACACTCAATTTCCTTAACCCTGAGAGAGGACATTAGACAAATAGCAAAGCAGTCACATAGGAAAGAAATACCACCCGAAAAGGTGTAAGTGTTGGACAAAATCCAACAGCGGGAGTGAAAGTAGGTTAACTTAAAAAATTCTGTGCACTTTTGTTTTTTCCCTGACCTTTCCCTGCTTTTTCGAGGGACAAAAAAAAAAATATCTCTGACTTTTCCAGGTAACGCATAAACAATTTGCAGGTTGCACAATAAAACTAGTGGAATGCCAGACATACTGAAAACAATGAAAATCATAACTACACCATTTTCATAAATGCTCTTCCTTCTATTTCAGAAAAAAAAAGAGAAAAGTCTGGCCAATTTCCAGAAATTTTTGAAAATGTCAGATCTTGTCACAGGGGCTTCCTGTAATGTTCCCCCGAAATTAAAATATCTCATGATCTCTGGAAAGGGACGACTAGCTCTTACTTCTGATGTATTTACCATGTTTCAGTTCAACATTTCTAATCTCACTGATGTGAGAGACATAACTTTTAGGCAGACAGACATCCCGATATTCAGGTACAAAATTGCATGCATATCCTCGCCATTCAAACCAATCTCAAGTCTATTTGGAACAGCACTAATAGTTGTTAATCCTGACATGTGGACTGTTACATCTACAAAGGATCTTAAACATCAACCTCAAAACCGATAATAGCTTCGAAGCATACTTTGGACATCTGGCGGATTGAGTTGAATTAGCAAACATGAGGTGGTTACAGTGACGAGGAATTGCAGCTATGATAAACAGGAATCAGGTAGCAGGGGAAGGGGGGTTCTAAGGTGAGAAACAACGTGGGAAGGTTCGACTTACTCTGCGTCAACCGTAAACGTTTTTCTATACCTCAGTTGCCACTTTGCTAAGTATTTTCGACCGGAAGGTCCTGGGGTTCGAGTGCCGACGGTGGCAGGATTTTCGTCACCAGCTTGTCAGCTAGGTCGAATTCAGACGCTGTCTGGAGGCGAATTCTAGCGGCCGGCTGCTCTGATCGGTAGTTTTCCATGGTTCCTCCGATCAACACCAGGCGAATGCCGGCGTAGTACCCTACCAAACTGGCCACGGAATGCGCGCGATTCCTCGTCCTATCCTCGCCACCTTACAAACACACGCACTACACAAGCACACATGCCGGGAGACCGGTCGGGAGCTTAGAGCTTGTTCCAGCTGGGGCAGTGCCCCGCTGGTGGGTGATATCTTGTTACGGAAACCCGCTATCCGACAGTAGGTCAGCGCTTGATCTCGCCATACGGCGGGGGAAGACCACAGCCACCGCCCGAGCAAAAACACTCACTACGCTTACGGGACAAATGACTCTAGATGTTGACGCGCCCGAAATCTCAATGAATGAATTTTCGAGTTCTTTTGTCTTCGCAATTTACAAAAACCAACCTTGAGCCTGTGCACCGCAAATTTCAAAATTATGTCAAAATACTTGTTGCGAACAAACATGAATCCTCACACACTGACAATTCCCTTACTTTCGCCAGCGTTCTGAGGCTAATGCCAACATTAGCTGGATGATATCAGAAATGGTCCATTCATTGCCATTCATACAGCTTCGTTCACATAGTCCGGCTAATTGTTCGATTTAAACGGCCCTTCGAACATTAGCTGTATTTCGGTCAACAAATACTATAAAACATCTAATTTTTATTCCTTCCAGACACGTTATTTTTTTTCCTTCAGACTAAACTATTGCACATTCGAGTATAATTACACGAAATACAATTTAAAAAATCCTTGTATGTTCCGCTGGGGGTTAACATCCCCCTACCTGTAGGTATGGCCTTGATGGGAGTGCACATATAATTATTCCGTATCTTATTCTTACCAATATATACCTTTGGTAACTATTTTCTTTTTCATATTTCAGTACATCTGTAATCGCTCTGTCTTTTTTACTGAAAACAAGTAGTCCAGTGTAAGTTTGTTCTACAATTCAAAATTTTCCAATAACGAAAATTTTGCAAATTGTCGACGGGGGGGATACAGAGGATTGTCCCCTCCTACAGTTTGGCGTACTCTGCGGGATAAAAATTAATTTCTCCTTGCTAAATATATCTTTAATCCATATTAGGCAGTGTTGTATTTCTGATTTTCGCAGTCTGAAGGTTTAAACAAAGGCAACCAAATACCAAAAATTGGACCAAAAAATATTCTCAGATAAATTACTAGAATTTACTCGCTTGTGGTGTTGGCATTTACGCCAAGAGTCGGGTTTCCGCTTGATAAACTAATGGTCTGTCACCCACCCGAGGCGCTGAGTCCACCTCATTCTTGCTCGCACCTCGTGACCCTAAGCGCTCTGTCATATCAACCCTTTGACCGGATTACTTGCTCCCCGCCACTCGTGCTTGGTTCTTGTTGTAGGGCGGGTGAGAATTGTAAAAAAATTCCGATGTTGCCGCACTGCGTGAGGAGTAGACGAAAGTAAGTGTCGCACCTTGACACACTTCGCCTCGCTAGTGTGGTCCAGAGTATCCTGGATGGAATTTAGCACTGTGTGACTGACACCGGAGCCAATTTGATAGCACTAGCTGTTTGATCGATACGAGCGAACCATGGAAAACTACCGATCAGAGCAGCGGCCCCAGCCTTGAAGACATTCACGAGCTTCCCGCAGACAGGCGTCCTTCTGAGATTCGGAGCTCCAGCTGACGGGACAAACTAGTGGGAGCGTCGTGTGACCCCGGAAGAATCTCCGTACACCCCGTGCCCCGCGGGCCAACTCGAACCCCAAGATGCACCTTCCGCTCGGGGTCCAACATCAAACTAACAGCGGAGCTAGCCAAAGAGACAACGTGCAAGCTTCGTAGTAGCAGAGACTGCTGTGTCCTCCAGCAGACCTGTGTACCGCGGCACAGGCTGCAGCCATATCTAGAGAGTTCGAATAATCACTCACCACGTGTGCTTTCATGCACCCGCATCTAGACAAAAAACCCCACCCCACGCCCCCACCCCACCCCCTAACGTACCTCCAATTTCAGCTGTTTCCTTTTACATCAGCTGCAATTCGCCTCTTCATCTCTATACCAAACTATCTGCATCGTTTCCCTAATTCAACTCAACTTGCCAGCCATTGTGTTCTCACCCAATAAGAATGCTTTGCCGCAAGTAGCATTATCCCGGTTTTGAAGCGTTACACGTTATACAGACCAATATATAGTGTAAGAATATGATCTCAGAGATATTCTATTCAATAATCGAGATACCCACATGCAATGCGTAAGCGATAGATTATCACTACTAACGCTAACTCTGCGTTCCGAGAATTAACTTGAATTGTTTGAATCGAGTGATATGCATGCAGTTTTGTACCTGAATATCGGATGTCTGTCTGCCTTAAAATCTATGTCTCTCATATCAGGAGAGTAGAAATGTTGAACTGTAAACATGGAAATACATCAGAAGTAAAGCTAGTTCCGACCCTTGCCAGAGAGCAGGAGACGTAGTTATTGTACAAATTAAACTTCTGACTTGATTATTGTGTTTGAACTATTTTAGCAAAAGACGCGCCAATGTGACATGAATTCTGCAACATTTCGTCATAGAATTTCCCTTGGAAATTGTCGCGCTTCTCATTATTTTTCTGGAAAATAAGACATGAAGCTCCCAGCATGCATGAATATCATATTCGTTACGTATTATTAACATTTTGCGATGTTATTTACAGAGTGATATACTGGACGATCCTCCCACTATTATTGGGTCTTTGTCTCGTTACCGACCTGCAAAATTGTTTCATGTCTGCGAAGTATACCTGGAACAAGTCCAGAGATTTTTTTTGTTCCCGTGTCCCATCCAGAGACAGAGACCAGTCTACTACATCTGTCTATGTGGAAAAAACAAAAGTGCACAATGAACTTTATTACTTAAAAACCTAACTATTTGCACTCTTCACTTGTTGCGTTTGGTAGTTTACAAACAATCTTTACTACCTTTAGCGGGGTTGTATCCTTTCCTTCTGCTGCTGCTATTGCGATTGCTTGCTATATGTTGCCTCTCTCTACGTCTAAGAAATTGAGTGTAGATCCAGAGGCGAAATAGTAGAGTTGAGTCCTCATTTGAGTGATTAACATATTTAGGGATGAGATATCATAGTTAG